GCAGCTTTCTGCTGCCCTGCATGGCCAGAGGGAGCCCAGGCCCATCTGCAGCAGCCCTGGAGCTGCAGAGGAAAACTCCCCCCTTGTGCAGGATCCCTGCTGCAGCAGAGCCACAGCTGGCACTGCAGGAGGGCTGAGCCCCCATGGATGGGGCTGGGACACCCCATGACACACAGGGGGCAGGGACTGCTCTGACTCTGGTAGTGTTTTGTGGGTTTTTTTTCTATTATTGCATTTATATTTTAAATTTTTCTGTTAAGGAATTGTTATTCCTATTCCCATTTCTTTGCCTGAGAGCCCCTTAATTTCAAAATTATAATAATTCAGAGGGAGGGGGTTTACATTTTCCATTTAAGGAGAGGCTCCTGCCTTCCTTAGCAGACACCTGTCTGTTCAAACCAAGACACCATTCCTGGAGGTGACGGTGCTCCAGGCTGGGGACAAGGTGGGGATCAGTCACAGCTTGGACTTGGTGACCTGAGGTCCTTGAGGTCTTTCCCAACCTCAAGGATTCTCTCACTCTGTGATTCCTCTCCAGCCACCACACTCACTCCTGTGGCACCCTTGCCACGGTGCTGGATGCACCTGGAACCATTTCCCACACAGCAACACCTACCCAGTGTCATCGAAGTGGAGCCTCAGCACTGCCCAGACAGTGACACAAATTGTTGGGGTACCTGCAGAGACAAGACAGTGACACATGAACAATCCAGACACACTTGATACTTATCAATGAGCATTTATGCAACCTCTCCACTGAGGCTTTATTTCTTAACAGCACTTGTACATGGCATAAAGAAATTTATTGAGTTAATTCAGAGCTCCAGAAACATCCCTGTCAGTCAGGGGTGGGATTGTTGGAGCAGAACTGGGAGCAGGAAAAAATTGATGTTGTGCCAGGTCATTGTTGCTCAGTGCTTTGCTGCATCTCACTGCATGAAGAATAAAACAAAGCCTGGACAGAAGAGAATCAACCACATCCATGTTTAGGGCTACTGGAATCCTGCAAGAATTGCAGTGCCAGATGTGGAGCTGGAATAGCATTATTGGATTCTCTGTATTCTTCAGTGGTGTTGTTGTAAATTATTTACATATGTTGCATTTTCTCTGGTACAGTGTAAATAACCAATCTTTCTTTAGTTATTCACAGATGAGAAGTTTCCTCTGCTCACAGGAATATTTAATTTTTTTCCATTAAAAACATACCAGAACAAAACAACAGACTCCAAAAAAAGAGTATTGGGGTAAGGATTTAATTCCTATTTCAGACGTTTCTTCATTTTCAAAAAATGCATGTTAAATGTAAATTTAATTGAAACAGTAAGAACTCACTGAGAAACCTGGACTTATTTTCCTTTCTGAAAATCCTAGAAATGTGGGTTTTTTGTGTTGGTTTTTTTTTTTTTTTCCCCAGTGGAAATATTTTTATTTATTAATGCATTTATGACAATGCATTAAGACAATGCACAATGCATCTGGGTAAGTTGGATCTCCACTCTATGGTAAATAAAATCTTTGACTAAAAAACTGCTGACTTCTCTTCAGGCACCACTGGAAAAATGAAATGCTGAAACCCAAAAAAACAAGGACCTTGATAACTCCAGCCCCCAGCAGTGAACACGACTGTGGTGAGTTGACCGGAACAATTATATTTAATACATTTTGCAAGACTGTGTTGATGCCACATTAATTAATCAGTCATTTGAACCACTTAGACGAGCCTCTGTCTAATCAAATTCCCACCATCAGAAATGAAAATATCCCTGTTAGACCTGGGTGACTGATGGAGCCCTCCTCCTTCAAGCAACCACACAGAGAAGAATTTGAAAGGAAAATTATATCAAGAAATAAAATTACAGGCTTCGGGGAGAAGAAATCATGCATATTAAATTTCAGTCGAAGTCTGTTTTTCTCACAGGTGAAGACTTAGAAAACACTGAGAAAAATCATTTTTACCCTTAAAGGAGTTAAGATTAATTTTTAAATATCAAACTTTAATTTTAATTGTATCAAATGAACTTTAAAATATCAAATATTTGCCCAGAGAAGCTGTGGGTGCCCCATCCTTGGAAGTGTCCAAGGATGAGGGTTGGAGCAACCTGGGATGGTGGAAAATGTCCAGGGAAGGGGGAGTGTGAATGAGATGAGTTTTAAGGTCTTTTCCAATCCAAACCATTCTTTGATTCCATAAAACATGGGTCTCATGTTTTATTTAGTTTCCTCTATATAAATTTTGATGCTATGAATAGAATTCCAAATCTTTAAAATGCGCAGGAAGGCAGAATTAAAACTAAATGTGTCATAAAAATGCATTTAAAAACCCCATGTTTCAGATCAGCTTGGAGCTTTGAACCATCTGCTGTATGAATATACAAATCCTCACACTACTTTTCTTTACATCAAAAGATTTCTATCTCTCCATCGCCTCCTTTTCAGCTTCTGAGGAACGTTAGGAAACAGACAAGCCCTGAAGGCTGAGATTTATTCTTGCTGACTTGTGCTGCCCTGAGTTAGTGATCCTTGTGCAGGCTGACCTAGAGCAGAGGCAGGACAGAACTAAAGAATAAAGCAGGGATTTATTAAAATGCCTCCATGGCTGCACCTTGGGCAGCACCAGAGCCCAGCCAGGGCTGCACCCAAGATGAACCAAAATGGCCCCAAAATGCACGAGCGCTCCCGGGCTCTCTCCCTGGGATCAGTTCTGCTCCATTTGCACCTTGCAGTTCATTGTCCCATTCCAGCTTTAGCCCAGGCAGTCCCACCCTGCTTGTTTCTCTCTCTCCAGCCCACGGGGTTTGTGCTCCTGGGCTGGGATTTGGATCATTTGTCCTTGGTGCCCAGCTGGAGCAGGAATTGTTTTGTCTCCCTGCTCTGTGCACAGAGCTCACCATGCCCTGATATGAAGCTCAGACCCACACACTAAAGCAGCACAGAATCTGAAAAATATAAAACCTACAACTTGAGGCATCATTAGGAGCAGGCATTAGCAGAGGGCTCAGGAAGACAGCAATCCATCCAGAGAATTCACCAGCACATTGCAGATTTAGGAAGGAAAAACTGCCTGGATCAACAGAGCCATATGCAGTTCTCATTAATCCCCCAAGATGAGGACACTGAGGTCTCAGCACATTTGGAGGAACAGATCAACATCCAGATGCTGCAAAGTGCTGAGCTCTCCTTTCTCACTGCTTCAGTGCATCTCCCTCCCCACCAGCCTGAGCTGAGGGGCTGCATTTGCCCTCCAGGGATGGAATCCAAGAGTCTGGAAGTGCCTTTGATGGCTTTGCAAATTGCCAATTGTTCCCAGCAGATCAGGGGAACTGTGAGTCCAGCTGAAACGTGTGGGAGATGAGAAAATAATTGTGTTTAAAAAAGAAACCAAAAGAGAACTGTCCAAATCTGGAGATTTATTAATGGATATTGCTGATGCTGCTTTGAATCTGAAGTGATTGGAGTTTGTGTCCACCAACACAAGCTGGACCTGGACCAGGTATCCAAGCTGGGCATGGACCTGCTGAAATTAAATCCAGAGGAGGCCACGGAGATGGTCCAAGGGCTGGAACTCCTTTACTGGGGAGAAAAACTGGGAGAGCTGGGAATGTTCCCCTGGAGAGGAGAAGGCTCCAGGGAAGAGTTCAGAGCCCCTCCAGGGCCTGAAGGGGCTCCAGGAGAGCTTGAGAGGGACTGGGAACAAGGCTGGAGGGACAGGACACAGGGAATGGCTCCCAGTGCCAGAGGGCAGGGATGGATGGGATATTGGGAATTGGGAATTCCTGGCTGGGAGGGGGGTGAGGGGTTGGGATACAATTCCCAGAGCAGCTGTGGCTGCCCCTGGATCCCTGGAAGTGTCCAAGGCCAGGTTGGACACTTGGAGCAGCCTGGGACAGTGGAAGGTGTCCCTGCCATGGCAGGGGCTGCAATAGATGATATTTAACATCCCTTAAAACCCAAACCATTCTGGGATTCTGTGAAGTCCAGTTTAGCTCAATGCCAGTTACCATCTATGGCACTCAACTAAAAACTAAATATTTTGAGGTTGCATTACAGAATTAATCCATCTGGGCAGTTTATTCAATACAATGACTGATTTAATAAATACTGAAGTCAGTTAATATATGCTGGTTTTCAGTATTCTCACATTCAGACAAATCGACAGATATGAAAATTGTGCAAACCTAATTATAGGAACTCAACCTTTGATTTATGTTCAGATTAAGAAGGTTTTACAAATTGCCATTTTGCATTACTTTCTTTTCTAATTGTCAGATTTCCATGTACATAACTCCCAATTTCCTCTTTGGAAACACACTTTTCTCTCAGCTATAATGTGATTATACAGCTGTGGAGGGTACAAAAGGAACCCTGAACACCTTTTCCAGCAGTTTCTTTCCCAAAGACCTTTTCCAGTAACCATCCATTTCCAACAGCCTTTTTATGGGACAGCTTATTTATCATAATTTGCTGGCTCCTTTCTCTCTATACCTTCTCTACCTCTAAACCTTCTGAAATATTTTCTCTTCTTTCTGTAAGGAGTCTTTGCCAGGAGATGAAAATTTTGGTTTGTGTACAGCTGCTTCAGGAAGGAAAAAACAGACCATCTGTTGATTTCTTGAAGGTTTGGGCTACATAAGGATGTTTTTTCAGAGAATAGTTTAAGGTATGGGGTTTGTGTGTAGATTTTACACATGAATATACAGGATTACTTCTATTTCAAAACATGAATATACAGGATTATTTCTATTTCAAAAGTGCCTGTAAGTATAAAAATTGAGTTTAACATTCTCAGGGAACGTTTTAAATGAATGTATTCTTCTGCATTCACCATCTGACTTCTGCACAAACAAAACATCAGCAAAGAATTGCTTGCATTAACACATCACAGGAATCAATTTATATCCAGAAGGCCAGAATGAAAAATAATTAGCATGGTTATCATCATTTAACCGGCTTTTCTGATATAAATATTGTTCCTTCCCAGTGCAAGTTTTTATTTCCCATCCAGGTAGGATAAGCAGATGTGAATACCCTTTGGATACATTTTCAATTTAGTTATTATCTGAAAGAAAGGCACAAATGAAGCCTTAGAAAATAGACTAGACTTAGCCTTGCAGATTTGATTATGCTGAAAGAAGTTGATGTTAAGATCATATCTTGCAGGAGGCAATTTTCTGTTGTAGATTACTCCTCTGCAAGAGATGTGGTGTCCTCCAAATATCAGTGCAACTCTATTCACACAAAAAAATCACAGCACAGCTTGGGCTGCAGTGGTAATTCTGTGCTGTAATAATTCACTTGTGAGGAATTTTGGAAGGGATCTGAGATGGGACATTTGAATTGCTTTTGATGATGCAGTTTATTTTTCTTATCCTCTACATGGGCAGGAAGTGTGAGTTCAGCTCACATCTTTACTGCATAGTTCAGAAGGTCACAAGATCTTTAGTTAAAGAGCTTTTAAGGAGTTATTGACCAATAAAACACTGCCCACAAAGATATTTATGTTTTTTACTTAATCCCTAAATATTTTGTCTTATGGACCCATGCTACAGTGTGAGCTTGGGTCCATATGTTTCGTAAGCATGGGCTTAGTCAATCGTGTTTCTTAGTCAATCATGTTATGGCACACAAACCTACAGTACTGCATTCTAAACCCCTTGTTTACCCTTGTAACTGCTCAATTTTTATATTTCTTAAACTCTAAAACTCTAAACTTTCCTTAGCTTAATATGTCTCTGCTTTAAACTATAAATATTGATATTTATACAATTCCAAAAGTGACGATGGATTGGAGGATGAAATTGCCACCTGTCCAACCACACTGGTCAAACCAACAGTCCACCAATTCTCTCTTCCTCCAGAAAGGAATGCAAAACAATCATTATTTACATAAAAGTGCATGAGAAACTCCATTACAAAAATGTAAACATCAGAAGGCTTAGAAGAACTTTGGAAGAACAGGGTGACAAATTAGCAACCCCCCATGCCCACAATTTGGACTTTTATAAATCCACATTTTCACTTCTGTCACCTCAGTTTGGGAGCCTTTTCCAAGGTCTCAGATCAAATCCTTTGTTTAGTTCTAAGATTTGGCTTACAACTCCAAAGTTCTGAGAGTTCCTTGCATTTCGAATTCCAGCATGATTCCAACATAATTTCAACACCATCAAGACTAAAATTATAGTTTGAAACCTGACATGAAAATACCATGTCACTGCCATATTTTCTGGAAAAATCCCTTCGCCTAGGATTTTGCTCCTGGGAAGCTGAGAAGCCTCAGAGAAAAAGGAAAACAATTCTTATCTCATTTGCTTCTCCTGTGTTGTGCTCACATGTGGAATGTGTTTGGACATTGTTTACCCACGGGTGATTGTTTCATTGGTTTCGTGTGAATTGTTTTGATTTAAGGACCAATCATGATCAGCTGTGTTGAAGCTCTGGAGAGAGTCATGAGTTTTAATTATTATCTTTTTAGCCTTTCTGTTTTCTTTAGTATAATTTAGTATAGCATTCCTTAATATAATAGAGTACCATAAAGTAATAAATTAGCCTTCTGAGAACATGGAGCCAGATTCATCATTCCTTCCTGCCATGGGGCACCCCACAAATACAATAACACCACACGTGGTCTGTGGAGCCGTCCTGCACACCAAGACACGTTGGAGACAAGAATTGCCACCTACCCCAGCCAATGATTGTGTACCAGTAGAAATATCTCCTCTCTGGGAAGAAGGTCTCCACCAGCAAAGTGAAGAGGTACAGCCCCTCTATGAACAGCCAGAAGTAGTTGGACATGACGCAGTAGTGAAAAAACACCATCACTGCTTTGCATTCCACCTGCAGGGGACGGAGAAGAACAAAGTTATTTCTGCATTGCTTGGGCCTAGAAAAAAATGCTTTCAACCTCTCCAGATCTCAGTGGAAAGAGCTGGGGCTGGTATTATACTCTTTTAATGGTAAAGGTTTTAAAGAATGTGAAGAATGGCAGGTATCACTTAGACAGCAAAGCCTGGATGGGGAGGAAGCCAATTTTACCAGTGGGAAGAGGTCAAGGAACATTTCAGAGCAGCTTGAGCACATCCTGTGCTGCTGAGGGCTCACAGCCCCAGTGAACACCAATTGCTGGATTTAAACCCCCTTCCAGGATTAAATGCAGAGAAGAAAAAAGCCAATTGTGTACCGAGAAACCCAGAGAAGGATGTGAAATGGCAGGATGAATGTAGAAAGCCCTGAGAGTGGGATCTGAAAGGATAAACCCTCCTGGGAATTGCACTTCTTTGCCATCCATCATCAGTGTTGTCACTCAAGGACAGAAAATGGAAGTTAGTGTGAGGAAAAAGGAGGCTGAGTGATCAGCTGTGAAAAAATAAAGATGGAAACTTTCATTCATGGACAGGAGGGGGAAGCAGCAAACTAAAGAAAAGTGAAAAATAGAAATAAAAATAAAAAACTGTAAGTAAAAAAAATTATAAAAAAATAAATAAAATTAAAATAGAAAGAGAATAAAATAAAAATAGAATAAAAAATAAAATAGAATTTAAAAAACAACAAAAAAAAGGAACTGAATTTGTTAAAGCTTGAGAAAAGCTCAAGGAGGACATTATTGCTTTTTCCAACTCCCTGACAGGAGGTGGTAACAAGGTCAGTCTCTTCTCCCAGGTAACAAATGCTAGGGAAAGAGGAAATTATCTTAAATTGCATCAGGGGAGGTTTAGTTTGGATATTAAGGAAAATTTCTCTCCTGAGGGGGCTGCCAATCACTGGAACAGTGTTCAGGTCAGTGGTGGAGACACCATTCATGGTGGTGTTTAAAAGATGTGGAAATGTGGCACTTGAGGATGTGGTTTAGGGGTGAATTTGGGGTGCTTGGGAATGGTTGGACTCAATTTTAGAGGTTTTTCAACCTAAATTATTCTGTGACAAAGGCCTAAGGTGGCAACCAAGCTCTACCCTGTGAGAGTAGGACATACTGGTCTTTCCAGTGCTGCACCCAAGTGAGATGCCATTAGTCCTACAAAAGCAGGATTTTCCAACAAATCCTGTGGGAAATGAATTTGTAGAAATTTTTTTTAAGTTTGAGAGAAGATTTACCTAGTATGTAAATTTTGAGATAAGAAATGTTGATTTAGAAATGTTGTGGAAGAGGATAGATATTTTGAGAGAGAAATGGAATTAGAAAAAGTTTTCAAGGGTGGTTTTGTAAAAAGGATTAGATATTTTGGAGAAATAAAATTCTGAAAGATGTACTGTAGTAGGATTTATGAAGGTAATTTTAGATTATTTGCTTTAAGGTATTTATAGTATGGTGTGGTAAAAGTTGATAGGTTAAGACATGTTTATAATGTATTGCAATTAGGAAATAGTTGGGGTTTTTTTGTGATGGTGTGAATTACAATATTTGCATTATTTTACTTTTTACATGAAACTCAGAATAAACGTTTTTAAAATGCTTTTTAACTGTTTTATTTTTCAGTTAGAAAAGGGTATAATTTGATAAATTGGTGTTATGTGTGAGGAAAAAAGGGCATAATCTGACAAATCCAAGCAGAATCTGTGGATAAAATGGAAGCTCCTGCGGGAAGCCATGATTAGCTCCCACTTTGACTTCATCCTCTGGGCCAAATCTACCATCAAGGTGTTTAAACCATCAGATCTTGAGTTTCTTCATGGAAGCTCTACCCTGGCTGAAGATCTGGTCATAAAATGGCTGATTTTAAATGTGTTTTATGCTTTAAGTGTTTCCAAACAAAGAAGCAGATGCCACCATTGGAAGAGTGGCAGGAGCAAACTCAGACCTAACATGGCTTCAGCTTTCTTGTGGAGAAGAACTGAGAGCAAAAAACTAGTTTCAATGACAAAGAAAAGGCTGACTAAGAAACTCCACAGCTGCACTTGCCTTGTGGAAGTGACTCACAGGGAGTTTAGCTCATAACTGGGTGGATAAAGGAGAGCTCAGTTTGTAATTCTATCATAATTACACCCAGTGAGCTGATTTATCATATCAAATACTCGCCTTAAATGTGAAAGGAATTGGGATTTACACATAATAAATGCTAAATGCATCAGTGAAAGAGTTCTCTGCATGAAACTGCATATTTAAGAGATAAAGATGTGGGCAATGCTGATGATTTTCTGAGAGTGTGGCCATCAGGTGTGTTCTCTGTGTCTGAATGGTCGCCCTGTTTACACATGACTCTGCCTGGCATCCTGAACAAATGAAAAACCAGACCTTCAGATGAAGGAAATTGCTTGTGTCTGCTCTCATCCCACCTATCACTGAGCAGATCTGGGAAAGGGAGGAACAATCAGGGCAGAGTCAGAAAAGAAAACCTGTAGGTTTGTTCTGAAGGACACTGGTGACATCACGACATGAAACATCCAGTCTGGCTGAGAACTGGCAGGAAATTAAACACCAACTACTTTTCCCCCTAATAATCATTACACTCCACAGACTGCTGCCTGCCCCACTGCTTTTTCTTATCTTGAGCTGAAAAAAAGGTAAAGGAAGAGGATTTGGTTTCAGTTGGACTCACCGTGGAGATGAAGCAGTGGTTTCCATCCTGCTCAGCATAAAGAACCCCGTCCTTGATGAACACAGATATTGCACGGAGGATGAACGAAACAAAAAGGTTCATGTGGATGAAATTCCGTGTGCAGTGAAGCTTCCTGGAGAGGAAAGAGGAGGGGAGTGGGGATAAAAAGAGAAATAAAGAAGGAAATAGTTTTATTTCGTGGAAATGTCACACTGGGCCTGAACACACTTGACCAGAGCACCTTGGTGCTAAGAACAGCAACATCTAAGGCAAGACTGTGTTAGTACAGATTCAGAACCCAGGACATTCCTCTGGCTGCCCTGGGTGGCTCAGACTCCTTGGCACAGAGTCACAAACACCTGTGCCTTTGATTTTAGCCCACGGAAACAATTACCAACTTTGTGTGAAGATTTACAAGCCGCAAGGGTTTGAGTAGAATGTTAGTGAATTTATCACAGGGTGAAAAAGTGGAATTTTGGGGATTTAGAATGGGGGTTGAAGTGGCAGGATGGAGGGATCTGGGTGTGTCTTGTCTCTCTTCTTCTTCCTCTTCTCCTCCATCTTCTGCTGTGATGACTTTAAATCACTTTTGGAGTGGTTTAGAGTAGAGACAGACTGTCTAACATAGGTGATAGGTATTGGAAAATTATTGTAAATAAAGTACAGGTAGTTTTTAGTATAAAAAGATAACACCACCCTGAGGGCGGTCAGTGTGCCACGAACTGACCTGCTGGACAGATCTCAGCAGGTCAGAGAAAGAATGTCATAGATAAGAGAAAATAAACAGCCTTAAAAACCAGAGCTGAGGGATCTCGACTTCTTCGTTGAGCACGGGGCTGGGATAAAAGAACTTTTAATACCTTGGGAGCCATTTCAGCTTTTAATACCTCATTTCACCAACAACAAACCTGAGAGGACAGGTCCTAAACCTGAGAAAGAGGAGTATTTGGGGATTTTCTCATAAAAGGATGCAGAGAAGCATAAAATAGACAACAGAACAAGCCCAATGGAGCTTGTGAAGTTTTATAAACCAAACCCACAGCTTCTCCTGCTGCATTTACACTCTGCTGAAATGCAACTTCTGGAGTGTGTCCAAGCTGGGGGAGCAGCTCAGCTAAAGGATTTTCCCCTTTGTATTCTACTGTCATTGTCATATTTTCTGAAAAATCCCGGTGCCAGGATTTTTTCTCCTGAGAAGCCTCAGAGAATGATCTGATTGCTTCTCCTGTGTTTTGCTGCTTTAGAATGTAGTTAGAGATTGTTTATCCAACAGGTGGTTGTTTGATTGGTTTCATGTGAATTGTTTTTTACTTAATGACCAATCACCATCCTTGTGACTCTGGATGGAGTCACGAGTTTTTCATTATTATCTTGTTAAGCCTTCTGTAAGTATTCTTTATCTATTCTTTAGTATAGATTGAGTATTGTATAATATAATATAATATAATATGATATGATATGATATGATATGATATAATATAATATAATATAATATAATATAATATAATATAATATAATATAATATAACATAACCTTCTAAGAACATCAAGTCAGATACATCAATTCCTCCTTCATCCTGGGGACCCAGCAAATATCCCACTCTACCTCTGGTGAGATAAAACCTTGAACTCAGCTTGGGGCAGCTGAGCTCCAGCTCCCTTCCTCCTCCTTCCCACTCACCTGAAGCGACACAGGATGACCATGGCAGTGGTGAGGGAAACCAGGGAAGTGCTGTATCCCACCGTGTACAGAGCCTTCACTGAGAGATAGTAGTAATCCTTGGGAGGCAAAAAACAACGGGGTTAAAGGGTTCATCCACAGCCACACAGCTGCCAATGTGCAGGAGGAACCGCAGGCAGGATTTGTGTCTTTGGTTTCTCCTCATTTCCTCTGAGATCTCACTGTGCACCAAGCGCTGCTCTCTGGCTGGGTCTGCACACCCTGAGGTTATTTATAAATGAGCTATCTATATTTATATTTATCTATATGAGGTTATTTTTTCAAAGACTACTATCTATATTTTTTTATAATTATCTGTAGAAAAAAACCCAAAACAGTTGGCTAAGAAACTCTTTGTCAACAGGGTTGATAAAGGGTTAGCCTGCAATTCTGGAAGTTCCAAGCTACATCAACACTAAAAGCTCATCTCTTCTATAAAAATTCAATACAGGCCTAGGAAGGATTCAGATATCACTGCTCGCAGTTTTATACTCATGTGTTGCAGTAAGGGTAGAAAAAAAACAAAGAAAGGCTTTATATAATCAGGCCTGCTCTGGCTAGCCTGTTCTGAGGCAAGCTGGCACTTGGCAAGTTCCCATGTGAAAGCAATCCTGGTGTGAGCAATTTGTTAACATAACAAATAACAACATATTCAACCTATTCCTGGGTGAAAAACAACTGGCACATGTATAAACTGTTTTTGCACCATTTGATAGAAAAATGAAAACTATCTGTCACAAACAAGTTTTCCTACAGGTACACACCAGGGGTTTGAGTGGCCAATCAATACAGAATAACAACTTGTTTCTAACCAATAAAGTAATTGGCAAGAAAGCTACTGACCAATTGGAGTCACACATGAGATCTGTAAAACTGAATAAAAAGGAGTTATGTGAATAAAGAAGGGGATTTTTTCCACCATGAAGAAAATGGACTCCATGTGATTTATTCCCATACCCATGTACATCTGATTGTTTGTTCTAATCACTATTAAATCAGAACATGACCAGAGGCTGGACAGAGAGCAGTCTGCTGCTTCCCCCCTCTCCCCTTCATTTGTTTTTAATTATGAGATTAATTCCCACCTGGTTATCAGACTCTGTTTCGTTTTCATCGAAGCCGCAGGCATCATAATAATGAGGGAAAGGTTCAGACCAGCCATCCTCAGTGCAATTCCTGCTGATGTCCCCTGTGCCAAGGGCAGGTGGGAATGTCACATCCCAAGAAAAAACCCCAGGGCATCCCTTCCCTCCCCTTGATGCAAAGAAAACCCCACAGTTCTACTGGAAGCTCTGTTCATCTGCCTATCCACAGATTTAATTCTGGACATTTAATGAGGTCTTTAATGATTCAGTCCTACAACAGGCACCTAATGCATGGCTGTTACTACAGTTGGTCACCAGAGAGCAAAAATATTTAATTAATACATTCAGTGACTCCAGACCACCAAAAATCTCTTTCTCAAGAGGGTTCCTAAACCAGGGGTCAACTAAATGTCCATTTCTTACAAAAAGGCATCTGGTGGCTACAACTTTGATAAAGATATCTCCACTCCACATGGCCAAAGGCGAAGTCCAGTGAATAAAACCAGGCCCTTTGTGCTATTTTTAATGGTTTATATCTGAGGCACATGCCTGGGACTGGTGAGAAACACCAGACTAACATGATTTTTTGGTCGAGGTGCTGGAAGCCAGTCAGGATGCTGTGGGTTATCTCAGATAATCATGGGTTATATATCCATGGAGAGGCAGCTGGGTTGCTCCCCTGCAGATAAAACACATCCCACTCGTTTATCTCCAAGCCCAGGCTCTGATCTCAGAGTGACTTTGTGGGAAGTGTCTGGAGAAAACAAAGGAACGTAGACTGGGAATTTCTCTCCCAGTCTCAGTTCAGACTGGGAACAGAGAAATTCCCAGTCCATGTTCCTTTGTTTTCTCCCTGTCTTCATGGCAATGTGTTCTTCTCCATCTCCAGATGCCCAGGTTGACCTCAGTTGGTGAATTCAGAGCTTCTCACTTTCCTCTGTCTATTAATTATTTCCAATCCTGGTTTATAACCTTAATTTTAAGCAAATATTTGCTTGAATACCGTAATTTTTTTGGCTAATCTCATATAAGAAACAGCTCCTAAATTGTTTCACTGATAAACTTAGGCTTTAAAACCTTACTGGGAATGAAGAGTTGGGGCAGAAGAGGGAGATTTTCCTGACACTCATTTACCTACAAAGCTGCCTGAGGTAAGACAGCCCCTGTGGGGCTCTTTTGAAGCACCATTATTCTTCTCAAAGCTCAATGGCTTTTCCAAAAAATTAGGGATGGGCTGCTGCTGCCCTTCTTCCTCTCCAGCACAAAGGAACAGCTTCAATTTATAAAATTATCCCACTTTTTGGAGTTTCAGTTGCACCTTGACCAAAACTGATGGAAATTTCCAAGTTTTGAATTTGCTCTTTGCTATTAAAGCTGTGCTGCTTTGCATTCTTAGAGCAGTTTAGTCTCTCATAACCTTATTTTTAACCTTATTTAAGAGAATCTGTTTGCCATGCATGCAGCAGAATATATCTCTTTAATCACAGCATTCATTTAACAACATTGCATTACTCGGCAAGTTTTGTTAAATTACTCTTGCACATTCATCCCCAGTTTTCTATGGAAATAAAAAGCACTGAATCATGGTGTTGACTTCCTTTAACACTATTTAGTGATTACTGTTAAGCAGGTGGATATAATTTATAGCAGCACACTTCTTAGATTGCAAGGCTTAATAGAGGAGGAATAAATTTTCATAATATTGCTAGAAGTAACAGAGCAGAAAATATGTCATAACAATTAAAACTGATTAGAAAATAATACCAAAATTGCAGAAAAAAAACCAAGCAAAAAACCTGAGATCTTCTCTTTAAACAGAGAGATAAATAAGAAGAGAGACAAAAATTTCCATGGTTCTAATTCTTACCTAGGAGAGACTGGGCTGTGCTTTCCAGCAGGTCATAATCACCTACAAAAGTGGAAATTGGGTATGAAATTGTTTTGATTGTGTTTTCTATTAGAGCCCAAACTGGTCTCAGTGGAAAGCAGTGAATGGAATGAAATTGATTTTTATTTGTTTAGATCAGGCCCAAAGGCAATAAATACTTGGTGCTGTCTTCTCAGGAAGTAAACACAGCTTTACTTGAGAGTTTAAATCAAAGCTGAAGCTCTAAATTTAGAATTAAAAACAGACAATAAATAGGGGTAAACTTTATTGTAAAAATATAGAAGTCAAATATGATTTCTATAGGAATTTACATTTATTATCCTCAGGTATTTAAATCTGACCAGTTTTCAGAGAATTAATGAAAAATTATTTCCATCCGTCAATGACAAAGAGTGCTAGTTAATTGATTTAAATAAGATCATTTTGTGGCTTTAGGTAAAATCACATTGATTTATAGAGACTTAGGAGATTTTTAATTCCACTTTTTGTGCAAGTATTATAGTTAAATACCAATGTATCATTGTCATAATTGTTGATGCACAGACAACTTTTTAATAATCTGAAATTACCATGTGCACACCATTTTGGGGAACAGAAGTAATGAGGACATGGGCAGCACAAGTGGTCCTTACCTGCATGAGTTTGCCCCAAATTATCCACTTCCCAACCTGCAATTAGAAGAATGAAAAGAATTAATTCATAATGATAATAGGTTGCAATTTAATTTTGATAAAATTTTGACACCCGTAAAAAAGGAGAACTGCAGGTTTAAATCTTTATTTTTTTTCTTAGTCCTGCATATTTATGAGTGGAAAAGGGTTTTCAGAAGATGGAATATTGTTAAATATCTGGTTTCATGAAGTTTCATCATCTGGGAAGAAAAAAAATGGATGTAGATTTTTTGTAAAGTTTTTAAAAATTACTTTTTAGGAGAATGTCTCAAAGTAAGGAAGACACGCATTTCCAAAGCACTGTGTCCAAACCCATGCTGCTCAATATCCTAAAACACAACTATCCCAATGGGAAATTATAAAACTATGGGATTACATTAGAAATCTCCCTTTCTTTTGTTCTTAAAAAAAGAAATAAATTGTTGAAATGATGCCGAACCAACGTCCCAACCCCTTGTGCTCAATGTTTAATCAGATTTGGGCTGAAATCAGGTTTTCCTGGCCCCTGGGTGGGTTCTGGCTCAGCTGGAGCTGCCTGGAGCCAGGGAGTGGAGCTGCTGCACCGTGCACAGAGGAGCCTCAGGGAGCTGCTGCAAATCACTCTCAAAAAACCTTCCCAGCACTTCACTGACCACCACAGCAGGTGAAATATTCATTTCAGTTTAGTTCTGCACCCTCTGGAGCCCCAACAGGGCTTCAGGTTGTTCCCCTTTTAACCCCAGTGGTCAAATGTTAATGAGGGGTTGGAAAAACCTTCACTAAATTGTGTGAGAAGGGTTTTGTTAAAAGTGAAATCCAAATAAAAAATGATTTTGATCCTGTGGGAAAGGAGAAAACATCTAAAGAATAAAAAATAACAGGAGGGTTTTCAGCATGCCATAAAATGTGGGGGGTTTATTTTATAATTCACGTAATAATTTCTGTGATTACGTGAATTGTGTAATGATTTCTGTGTCTCCTCTAAAGTAAGTCTGATGTGCTTTTATAGCTTTTAAGGCAGAAAAAAGAGTGTTTAATGTGAAAATGATGGTGAGAGTATAGAAAACTCATCAGAAGCATCAGGCAGACTGTTTTGTGACTTTGGATGGATTATTAAATATTAATCCTACACATCCAACCTACTGGGGATCTTGGAGGGCTCATCCTGGAAGCCACAGTGAGAACACCCACAGTCCCCATCCTTCTCTGCCCAGCTCCTGCTGCTCCCAGGGTTCCACAGAGAGAATTTAGCCTGGATTTTAGGGAAAGATTTTTGCCCCAGAGGGTGGTAAGGCACTGAATCATGGAATGAGCACATTCCCAAGGCTGCCAGAACTCCAGGAGAGACTGCACACCTCTCTGTGCACAGGGATGGGATTTTGTGCAGGGACAGGATGATTTTGTGGGTCCCTTCCAACTCAGGCTATTCTGTGACTGTAGCTCCTGGGTTTTGGCAGATGTTGGGCAGGTCTCTGAATTCTGAGGAGGTGTCTCCAGTGCTCTGAGCAAACATTTTCCTGCAGCCAAGGGGGTTCAGATTCTGTACAGGGCTGAGCCGGCAGGTGCTGCAGCAGAGCTGAGCCTGTGCTCCTCATTCCTGGCAGAATATCAGGGATAGTGTGGTGGGTTCAGTGATGGTCAATATTAAATAATAGAATATTTATCTATTCTGCTCAGCAGAATAGTTTGGAGAGACCTTTTTTCCTCCTTAATCCAACCCCAGGTTTATTAGCAGCTGTGTAGCTCAGTTTTAGGAATCTGTTGCTAAAATCAGGATATGTTGCTAAAATCTGAATTCAGAACATGGATGTCAGGCTTTGGTGTGGGATTTTTTATCTGTGGGTGCATCAGAGGATCGAAGGGCAAACCACCACTCCTTTTTCACTCTTTCCATGGTGCTTTTCACAGCATCTGCCACTCCAGCCAGCAGCTCTGATGGAATTTGTCCTCTTAGTGAGGTCACCCAGTGCAGCAGCCTGTGCCTCTCACTGACCCACACAAGCAGGGTAGAAAAAGCTGCAAGGAAAACTCCCCAAAATCTCATAAAAATCCAGTTTTAATTTATTATTTGTAATTTAACCTTAAAACTGTGCAGAATTCTTTCTAGAGAAAGACTGGGCCAGTATTATGTAGATTGATGCCTGATGTTCCTGACATTCTGCTTATTACAGTGATGGCTGTAAAAACCACATTTCTCTTAAATTTAAATGTTTTGAATGCAGCTGTTTTTCCCCTACAATCTAAAAAGCATGACATAAAAATTATCAATATTGAATTCTAAACAGAGATAGCAGTTAGTCTCATTGAGATTAAAATAATAAATTTTAGTTAATTTTTAATTTCATGACATCCATAATAAGAGATAAAACACATGAATGCACTTTTTCTGAAAGGAATAGGCTTGTTATAGAAATATTTTTTATATATACTTAAATTATTATTCCATTTCACTCTCTTTGGATGTTATGAAGGGACTCACTTTTCTAACAACATTAATTTTCTGATTTGCAGGAGCAAGCAAGCCTTTTATTAACATATATTTCTATATCTCAGTCCTACCTAATGTACTGAAGAAAGTTCCAGTACAACATTTGTCTGTACAGGCTTTTAGGCTTGATTCATCAACTCAGTTTTCACTAATAAGTTAAGATACTAAGAAGTTAATTAGATTTACATTGAACATCATGCCCTGAATTACAAAAAAAATGTCAAAGTTCATCTATTCAGTGTTGGGATAAAATGAACAGATATACAATTATATTTGTGGGTGTATGGACATTTTTTTTTATTTCTATGTAATTATTTAAATATGTGTATTTTTATACATATAAAATATATCTGTGTATATACATGTATAAATGTATATCTATTTATGTTTTCATTCATATATTATATATAAATATATAATATAAACAGATATATTATATAATATTAAATTTTAATATATAAACACATATATAATATACAGTATATATTTTTATATTTATATTATATGTATAAGTATTTGATATATCTATAAACAGATGTACATATAATATGTATATAAAATATATAATACATATGTATTATATATGTATATATTATATATGTATATATTGTTATATTATATATTATATATTTATATATAAAATGTATATAATATATATTTATACAAGATATATCTATATTCTATATAAACAGATATATTTATATATAAAACCAGATATACTTATATATATAAACAGATATATTTTTACATAGATATAAAAGGACATGAGGGAACATACAGCCACCACATGCCTTTGAATTCCTGTACACTCCAGCTGCTGCCTTGCCTTCAGACAGTGCAAGTTTCTATATCCTGAAGCAAAATATGGAAATTTATTTGACAGAAATTCATGGCATTGGTGCTGCTTCCTCACATGTCTGAGAATGAAATGGAATTCAAATGGATTTGTTTTGTGCACAACATTTAACAGGTTTACATAAACCTGACCTTGCATCTAAAGGGTTGTGAGGAATCCCAGACACGCTCTCATTTTTCACAACATTACCTCAAAACATTGTTTTTCTGAGTTATATTTTCACTTTAGTGCCTTTAAGACTCTAGAGTGACCTCAGTAAATTTACTCCACTGTCAGTGATGGAGTGGGCAGAACTACAGGACCCCTCACTGAATCCCACAAACCTTCTTGATTTCCTACTCTTAGAACACAAAAAATGAGAAATGGGTGTGTTTGACTTCACTGATGAAGAAGAGAAAACCCTTTAATATGATTATGCAATGGTCTAATAAAATGCATTGCTCTCTCAGAAATGAAGAATAAATAAAATCTTATTTTCATCTGCATTTCCACTGGAAAGACATTTTTCAGGGGTTTAATTCAAGGGTTACAATTACAAGGGACTTTAGAGGAGAGCATGTAGTGACAGACAAGGAGTGACTTTAAAATGAAAATGGGCAGGTTTAGGTTGAGTATTAGGATAAAATTCTTTACTCAAAGGGTGGTGAGGCCCTGGCACAGGGTACCCAGAGCAGCTGTGGCTGCCCCTGGATCCCTGGAAGTGTCCAAGGCCAGGCTGGATGGGGCTTGGATCAACCTGGGATAGTGGAAGGTGTCTCTGCCATGGCAGGGGTGGCACTGGATAAGCTTTAAGATCTTTTCCAACCTAAACCATTTTATAATTCTATTATTCCATGATGGCAACATCTTAAATATCACGATTTTATGACTTATTTGAATGACATCTGTGCTTCTCACATGTAGTTAAACCCAAACTATGAAATATGGACACGACAGCAGATACAAAACAGTGCCTTAGAACAGCACTTAGTAAATCAATAATTGCTCTTATCAGTCAATAAACTCCTGAGGAAGCTGCTGATTTCCTCAACTCAGGATGGTTTATCCAGTGTATTGACAGGTTGTGTTATTTGCTGTTTGACCAGACTTAAGTAAGTGTCACTCTTTGGGAAGCAAATTTGCAATTAATGCTTTAATTGACATTGGTAATTAGATGTTATTTGTGGAATTGCTCAGAGTTCCTAGAGAAGATCTATCAGAATGCTGAGTTGCCAATTCTAAAGACCAAGTAATGAAAATACTCCTTATTTCTGTTTTCTGCAGGAAGAGGTAAAAGAGGGAGATAAAAAAAATCCAAGGATTTGCCAATGGCTCCCCACAGAGTTGGTGGCAGAGACCCAGACCTTTCCTGCCCTTTTCTTGCACAGTTATCAGACTTTCCTCTTTGATTTTTATTTACTGAGACCCAGAACTCATAATTCACCCCTCACTATGCAACAACTGATGAGAAACTCGACGACAGCAGTTGCTCCTGATTTAAAGCGGACAGGGATGGGGAAGCTGAAGCCAAGAACCAGCCTGTGCACGATGAGCCTCAGAGCCTTTTAGATCTCCTCCTTGGTGCCAAATCTGTGCTGGCTGCTCTCCACCTGCCTGGCATCCTGTGGCTTTGTTTATCTGAACACAGCTCGCATTTAACCCTTTTGTTCCAGCGTTTGTCCCTTATTAGTGGCA